CTTCGATTTCATAGAGCTGAGCCATGATTCTGTTGTTCATTCCATTAAGAGTACGCACGTTACTCTCGACAGTGCTGATTCTCCGCATAGCGCCTTCAAGCGTACTCCGGAATGAGTCGATTTCACGCCTAACGGCGGACCGTGCTTGATCACTATTCGCAGGGAGATTGCGAATCTGCCTTCTGATGTCATCAAGAACTTGATTCAGAATCCCCGAACTCGCTTCGTACTGCTCAACACGGGACTTCAAGGTTTCAAACCTCGCAAGGACATCGTCATGATCCCCATGGTGGCGTTGAACTCCGCGAGATAGATCCTGGACCTTTCGATTGACTTCGTCAATTGCTTCATGCCAGTCCTGCGGGGATACAGGTCCTGATGATCTATCGATCGCCTGTGACCCCCTTCCACTTTGCAGCCTCGACATCCGATTAGCAAGAAGGGTTTGCTCTTCATTAATGCCACCAATAGATTCGGAGGCCCACTTAGCAAACTTCTCATGTTCAAGGAGAGCCTTCTCGAGCTTCAGGTTTAACTCCCTGAAATTCGCGTTCACCCCGCTGCTGCTAGCCCTATCGGGCGGTTGCGCGGCAGGATTCAAATTCCATTCACCCGCCGGCGTCCGCATCCCAACGGTTTTCTCTACCGAGAACATCCGTCCCTCGAGCTTGTCCAAGTCCTTAAGAATCTCATCCTCGGAGGCAGCATGGCTCCTGTGGACGGCCTCACGATTCTCTTGAATCATCTGACGAAGCCGATCTGTCGCGGCCTCATTGTCCTTAACAGATTCATGAACCTCGTGTGAAAGCAGATTGATCCTCTGTTCCACAACTTCAGCCTGTTCATCGATGGCTTGCCTTACGATAGCTTTGCTGTCGGGAATAACTTCCCTGGCAAACCGTTGAACTATCATTCGCATCCTACCGGCATCAGATTGAGTCGCAATCTCAGCTGTCAGGCGATCGACCTTCTCCTTCGTCTGTCGACTCTCGTCGCTCCATTCCCTTCGCATGGAACTCACCTGACCGTTCAGTAACCTGATTTGGTCAGCAAAAATATGGAACGCCTTCGCGACTGAGCCAGAAACCTCACCCCTCTCGAGCATCTCCTGGATGTGCAAATCGAACACCTCCTTTGCCCTAGCGTCACCTGATTCACCGGAAGACTGGGATCTAAGGGCAGGAGGAGTCGATATCTCGATCCTCTCAGGAGCCCCACTAGCTCTAGCAAGTCTGCTGGGGTCGCCTACAGGACAATCATCAATCCTGGGTGGCCTACTCGGGGTAGATCCCCTTCTCCGGCTACGGGCATCTCCTCATCCTGCGGAGTTGAGCCCATTGGTGAGGGGCTAGCTCTCCTCGCCTTTGACCTATCGGTCTCAATGGCGAGGGGTGACGGCCTCTTCGCAGAAACACTACGCTCCCTGGCGGTCGAGCCCCATTGAGGTGTGAACTCGTTGCTAGACCTTAGCGTTTCAAGGTCACTGGTATCTCGCCCTAACGGGCTAGCGATCGACGGACGATCTTCGATCCCGAGTGCATCGGCAAGCCGACCATCTCTGGCACCTCACCTAACGATATCGGCAGCCCGCTCAGTGATCCTCGGCGAACCAGTAACCCGGTTCGAGTTCACGTCTCTCTGATTCAACGGACCTCCAAAGGTAATGTTGGGAAAAGGGGGAACATTCGGGGTATCACCAATCGCTGGGGGACCTATCGGTCCCTCACGGTCATGGATGGCCTCCAATCCCCGAAGAACTTCCCGACTATCCCTGGCTCTCTCTCTCTCGCCTCGGGCGTCCCTGTCAACACGAAGGTCCCTGGCGGCTCCACGAGAGAGGCTCCTGGGCCTCGCAGCATCACGGATCCTAGCATTTCGGCGTGATTGGTCCTCCTCCTCATCCGCAAAATTGTAATCTTCGCCATCATAAGACTCAGATTTGGCAGTATTAGGGTTGGGCCTACCGGCATCAGATCCCTGCTTTGAGCTACTGCCCCAACCTGCGGTTGATTTCAACAGAGCATCGTATCCGAAGTCTGTGAATTTCCGCTCCTCGTGCTCATCAAACTGACCTGGATTTTGAGAACCAGTGGATCGACCCGAGATATCTCTCGGAGCCAAAACCATAGTCCCTGGTCCTTGCGGCCTGTCCTCAAACTCATCCGAGACCTGCGATTCACCTGGAACAAGAGATCTCGGGGGTCGGGTCGGCATAGCCTCCGGGTCGTCCGAATGGGGGCGGGCCATGTTCATCGCCATGCTGATGAAGTCGAACTGTCCGCGCCTGTGACCTGATTCAGAGCCGCTCCTATCGGAGCGAACCCTTCGTGTCTGCTCATCATCGGTGGCCTGACGGAAAATGCGGTCGTCTCCATCGTCGGTGTACCTGCCACGGCTCCTGGGTGTGTCCCTACCGGGATCTTCACCCCTGCGATCCTGACCTGTCGAACCTGCTTCGAAATCCTCGTAGTCATAGTCCGGTAGGTCCTCACCTGAGCGGAGGCCACCTAGGATGGCCTCCTCATCCACGACGCTCCTTCGAGATCGTGGGGTCGACATAGAGCTTGTAGTTGATGGTCTCAAGCGCGTAGGAAAGTCCTACGGCTGATAACCTGTGATTCGGGCACGAGCCTGTGCCCAGGCAATGGGTAAGTTGGGGTAAACAAGCCACAAAAGAAAGGTTCCCCAAAAGCAAACCAATCCCCGGTCCCAAAGATCAGGGTTTCCCACACACCAGAGAACAACAACCAAAGGAAAACAAACCAAACAAGAAAAGGGTTAACCCGCAACCTTGGTCGACAACAGGCCGCACGACTGGTCCCTACCAACCTGGCGGCGGCCCGAGGTCTCTTTCTCCCCCGAGATGCCGTCGGTCGACGCAGGGGTTCGGCGACGCCCATTCGAGGCGCGACGGAACCCAAAACTTGAGCCAAAACACCACAGGTCGGTCACTAACGCGACGTCCCTGATGATGATATTAACCATGGCTAATCACACAAACAAACCAAATAAGCAAGCAAACAAGCAATCAAGCAAGTCAGCAAAACAAACACAAAAAACAACAAAGAAACAAGACATACACAATCCAAACAACCAAGCAAAAGACAATCCGCCGACCGCTCTTGCCAAAAGAAAATGGGAGGGCGCACGGGAAGGGTGGCCACCAACATTGATACACTCACAATTAGATCATAAAACAATACTGTCAAACAAATCTGGTGGGAGTTAGCCTGGCTCCAAAACAAATACCCGGTATATAAGGAAAGCGGAACGTTGTGGGAGTGCTTTTGCATAGACTTACATTATTCAAAAAGAGGGCGGGACGCTGTGAGCGTGTGCTTGTTTCATGCTGTTGAGTGGAAATTTCCGGCCGACCTATGCTTGAATAGTTTGATCTTACATGTTAACTGAACTGAAAAGGAATGTGATTGGAAACAAATTCCTGGACGTTGTGTTTCTCAACTCTAATAACATGGACGTTGTGTTCCTGGAGCATTTCCTTGTGAAACGTTTAAACTCTAGTTCAATTGTGAAGTCCTGTTGGGAAAGGATTTCAATCTACATTCCAAGTCAAGATATAATTTCAAGTAGAGTACTGACCAAGTATTTCATTTTTTGAGGCCCATTTAAATCCTATTCAAACTCAGATTGAATTTTACAGAGCGGCCGTCGCGGAGATGTGAATTGAGTACTCGCAACGCTACAACAATGCTTTACGGTATGTTCCGACCATGGTAGTGCTGGGGCCGGTTAAAAAAAAGAATATTTTAAGACCTCTAAATTCTTCTTTATGAACTCTACTTAATAAGCTTATTAATTATACCCGACTCAATTTCTAACTAACGTGGAATCGAATTCAATGGGGAAAGGCTACAATCAAAATTGTAATTCCAACTTCGAGTCGACACAATGATTGTTCTGCTGCAAACTAAATGTTACAAGGATTAACTGTCTTTACAAAACAGTAAACACTCAAACACAATTTACTCAGAGTAGAGAGGAAATCAATAACAAAGAACAAACGAGAGACCCCAATGTAAAAGGAAGGGGGGGCGGGGCTTGCGGTCTGCAATCTTGTTTTTTGTTTTGTTTTGTGGAAATATCAAGAATCCGGGGTTGGGGTCTGCAATCTTGCTTTTGTTTGGATTTCCCGAGGCTTTTTAGGAACTGGTTGTGTGGCAAATTTGTTTGTTCAGGCATGTGTAGATGGCAGAGGAAGATTATATAGATGCACTCCCAGGGCGTCCTGTTTTGTATAAGACCCTGGTTGGTGCTGCTGAGAATTTTGATGCTGCATTCATATCTCCTTAGGCCCCGCCCGCGATGCTGGCGATGCTAAAAATATGTTGTTGTTGTTTTTTTTCCGCATGTTTCGTCCAGTGCTACTGGCACTAGCGCCTGCCATCCGCAGCATCACCTGTATTTCGGTCAAGGAGACGCTTTCCCACTTGCTAAGCCGAGATGCTCCTATATTTTTGAGATCAGTCGACGCCCCCGTCACCAGTGCGTACTTTGACAACAAACTGGTGGCCCCCCAGCGTCAGTACAAACATGTCATTGTCATACTGGCTTCACGCCCAAACAATCAGACAGGCAGACAAACAAACAGACAAACAAGACAAAGCAAAGCAAAGCAAAGCAAAGCAAAGCAAAGCAAAGCAAAGCAAAGCAAAGCAAAGCAAAGCAAAGCAACCACAGCCAGCAAACCAAACAAATAACCAAAGCAAACAAATCAAAACGAGGCAGCCAGCCTGCCAGAAAGCAAACAAGCAAACCAACAACACACGAACACGCAAACCAGCTCAAACCAACCAACAGCGGACACACGCAAGCAAGCCAGCCAGCCAGCCAGCCAGCAGGCAAGCAAACATACAAACAAGCAAACAAAAACAAACAAACACACAAACAAACAAGCACACAAAGACGAACACACGCGCCAACACAGCATCAACCCGCGCTAACTTCAACAACCCACGCAAACTTCAACAACCCGCGCTAGCCTCGCGCATGCGGTTTGCCACTTGCAGCGCCAGCGTCATTTGGCCCGACTGGCCATAGCACCTGGGTGTAAAGTGGCATCTCTGGAACACAAACCCGATGCCCGGCGGAGCTATGTGCAAATGCCTCTTGCCGGGAGGCCCTGCAAATAAGAAGTTTCCTTTGAGGCCATTTCTAAACATGAACAAGAGGCAAGCAAAAGGTCCGATCTGGCTTGCGGCTGGCTGGCTGGCCAGCTGGGATGTCTGGGTGGATAACTACTAGGTTGTGGCAACTTACAACCGCGCTGCAGCGGCGTATGCTTGCCAGAATGCTTCACTTGGATGACTTCGTCTCGGCCTTATCAACTTTCAAAGTGGTTGGCACGTTGGCGGAGCTGTTTGGCCAAGAGGCTGCTAAGAGGCCTGGAAAAAGCAAAGTACCGCGGAAATACGGAAGCTGACAAGACCAAAGTAGGCGCTGATTCAATGATTGCATATTGCAAGTCCGTCGCCGAGCTGCCCATGAACTGAAAGCGGACCCACCCTGCTGGCAAGTCATACCCCTGCACAGACTGGCAACAAGCTGGCGGCAAGCTGTCTGGCTGGCTGGGTTGTTGGCTGCGTGGCTGGC